CTTCCTTTGTTCTACAGGCGCTCGCTCGGGGGTCCCAGCGCCGGCCGGGGGGGCTCAAGGCCAGCGCCCTGTGAACCCCCCCCATTGCTTTGCAGCGAGCGAGACTGGGGGGGGGGGATACCCCTAAACCCTGTGGGGTTATGGGGTGTGGGGGGGGTGGTGTTGGGGGGTAAGAGGGAAAGGGGGGGGGGGCACGTGAGTTAGGGAGGGAGTGGTTGTTGTAGGGTGGTTGGTTGTGGGGGGGGGCACTCACTGGGTGGTGTTGGAGGGTTTGGGGGGCTGTGAGTTGGGGGTGTGGTTGATGTGGGCTGCACTGGGTGTTGTTGTAGGGTGGCTGGATGGGGAGGGGTCACCCTACAGAGCAAACCCCCCCCCCCCGCAGCAGCAAAACCCACTCCAAACCCAGTCCCAGCCAGACCCACACCCCCAGTGCCACAGAAACACCCCAGAAGTGGAGGTACAATGTGTCCTCCCACCGTGGGACAGCACCCATTGCAGCCCCCCCGGCCCCACGCTCCTCACCAGCAGCTCAAGGTGCAGAAGAGCTTAGATTTTAATTTAAGGGGATAAAATATCTACAAAAGAACCAAATACAGGGGCTGGTGTGAGCTAAATGTGAGCCACGATGATTTCCCATTGGAACTGAACCACCTTATGGAGCATCCTGGCTCCAGCATCCATATAGGGAATCCTATAGATGGAGAAGGGGTCATGGTCATGACCTGGTCCCCAAAACACACAGGGAGCTCATCATTCACCCTGAAACCATCCCATGCTGCCAGTGCCTTAAATACACCCCGGATAATAAGGACCAAAGGGGACAGCCGAGGAGCAGGATTTGGCCCTTGTCCTTTGGGATCTTCGTCCGGAGCTGGCTTGAGGTGGGTACCGGAGGGCAGGAATGATGCTGCTGCCGCTCAGAGCGGGTCAGGATGTGATGGCAAAGCTTTGGATTGCAGCAGGGTCACAAAAGCCTTCACCTGCAAGAGAAGCTGATTTGAGCGTGGCACCGGGATGGGGCTGGGATGGGACTGGGATGGCATCAGGATGTGGCTAGGATGGCACTGGAATAGCACTGGGATGGCAAATGGATGTGGCTGGAATGGCATCGGGATGTGACTGGAATGGCACTGGACAGCCCTGGGATGTGGCTGGGATGGCATCAGGATGGCACTGGGACAGCACCAGGATGTGGCTGGGATGGCAGTGGGATGGCATTGGGATGTCACTGGGATGTGGCTGGGATGGCAGTGGGACGGCATTGGGATGTCACTGGGATGTGGCTGGGTTGGCAGTGGGATGTCACTGGGATGTGGCTGGGATTGCAGAGGGATGGCAGTGGGATGGCATTAGGATGTCACTAGGATGGCACTGGGATGGCATTAGGATGTCACTGGGATGTGGCTGGGATGGCAGTGGGATGGCATTGGGATGTCACTGGGATGTGGCTGGGATGGCATTAGGATGGCACTGGGACGGCATTAGGATGGCATTAGGATGTCACTGGGATGGCACTTGGATGGCATTAGGATGTCACTGGGATGGCACTTGGATGGCATTAGGATGTCACTGGGATGGCACTGGGATGTCACTGGGATGTGGCTGGGATGGCACTGGGATGGCTGGGGTTTAAACCAGCCTGCACCAAGGGTGTCCAAATGATTTTTCCCATGGCGAGATGAAGGTGAGGTGGAAGCTCGGAGGATCCCACAATCCCGGGATGCCGCCTCGGCCATTCCCACCTGTGCCATGAGGCCGCCCTGTGCGGCCACGTCGTGCTCAAAGTCCTTCTCCACATCCAGCACCAGGACGGGCGCGTGCTTCATGTCTGCAAAGTGGACCCTGAGGAAGGGAATAAACCAGATCAACCCCAGCTCCAGCCCATGTGCCGGGGGCAGCACCACGGGATGGGCTCGGACTCACTCCGTGCTCTTCTCCACCAGCCACTGCTCGTGCTGGGCATGGAGCTGCTGCAGGTATTCCAGCTGGATGCCCTGCTCCTCGCTCCTCGCCCGGCGCCGCAGCCGCTCCAGGCACGTCTGAACCACACCGGAGGAGAGAGGGGAACGGGATGTGAATAGGGGAGATGGGAAGTGAATGGGATGAGGAGGAGATGGGAGGTGAATGAGGGAGACAGGAGATGAATGGGATACAAAGGAGATGGTAGGTGAGTGGGAGAGGTGGGAAGTGAATGGGAGAGGATGGGGGGTGAATGGGATGTGGAGGAGATGGGAGGTGAATGGGAGAGGTGGAAGGTGAAAGATGAGGGGTGAGCAGGATGCAGAGGAGAAGGGAAGTGAATGGGAGAGGTGGAAGGTAAACAGGAGAGATGGGAGGTGAACAGGGTACGGAGATGTGAGGTGAACGGGAGAGATGGGATGAGAATGGGATGTGGAGGAGATGTGAGCTGAATGGGAGACATGGGGTGTGAAAAGCAGCCCCACGTGAGGGACTGCAGCCAGTCATCAAGCATCCCGGGCTGATGCTGCAGCCCTCCCTCCCCAGAATCCACTCCAGGATCATAGCCAAACCCCCACTGACATTCCCATGGGAACAGAGCTGCCGTTTATGGTTAAACCCCAACACTTTGGCAATTCCAAGCGCTCACAGGCTCAGTGGAGCCTCATCCCAATCCCGCTGGACGCGGGGTCTCGCCGCACCCACCTGCGGTGTCGCCCGCAGGTACAGCAGCCCATGGAGCACGGTGCGGGGCCCCAGCTGCCGCAGCAGGAAGCTGTGCCAGTCCTGGTAAATGGCCCATTCCAGCGGCTGCAGGTGCCCGGCCTCGGAGAGGTTCTTGGCAAAGACGTACCTGGGATGGGATGGGATGGAGAGAGGGGATAGGGCAGCGGGAGAGCTCCACAGCCAACACCTTCATCACAGAATGGTTTGGGTTTGAAGGGATCTTAAAGCTCATCCTTATCTGCCTTATCTCCAACCTGAACTCCCCCTGTTTCAGTTTGAACCCATCACCCCTTGTCCTATCCCTACAGTCCCTATGAAGAGTCCCTCCCCAGCATCCTTGCAGCCCCCTTCAGACACCGGAAGCTGCTCTGAGGTCTCCACGCAGCTTCTCTTCTCCAGGCTGAACAGCCCCAATGTTCTCAGCCTGGTTCCATACAGGAGCTGCTCCAGTCCCTGAGCATCCTCGTGGCCTCCTCTGCACTCGTTCCAACAGCTCCATGTCCTTACACTGAGGGCACCAGAACCGCACACAGTGCTGTAAGTGGGGTCTCACAAGAGCAGATCACCTTCTTCAACCTGCTTCTTTCGATCCCTTCATCCCTCTTCTTTCCTGTTTCAGTTTGGGTACCTGTCGCTGTAGATGGAGCGCTCAAAGACCTGCACAGGGCTGGGGGTCTCAGGCTCATCCAGCGGCTCCAGCATCGCCTTCAGCCGGCTCATGAAGGAGAAGGTCTGGAAGGTGTAGGACCATCGGGCTGGCTCCTGGTACATCATCTGCAGAAGGTTGGTGGAGCCCACGGCTGCCTAGAAGAGAAAGAGCCTGGTGATGAGATGGTCCCACCGCGGCGCGGTGCCCATCGGTGCCGCCATGCAGCCGGTGCCGGTCCCGTTACCTGCGCCGCGCCGCGGGCTGGCACCTTCTGCCACTGGGCCACCGGTTCGGTCACCAAGTGCCACTCGGGGAAGGTGGCACCCAGCAGCTTCAGGAAGGTCGATTTCCCCACGGCTATGGGGATGGGGGCGCAGGGTGAGGGGGGATCCCCCGCTCTGCTCCTGCCATGCAGTAACGCGGGGTTGGGGGGTGCCCCCAGCGCCCCGCAAGAACAATTAATCACTGACGTTCAATTAGACCCGGAGAGGTTTCAGGCTGCGCAACAGCCCTCCAATACCGCACCCCCCACCCCAAAATCTCCCCCATGGACCCCCCCGCACCCCAAAAGCCACCTCGTCACCCCGGGGGACCCCCGCTGTGTGTCGTGTCCCCCCCATCCCGCTACCGATGTTCCCCTCCAGGGCCAGGCGCAGGGCGGCCCCGCACCGCCCCATCCCGCCACCGCTTCCGCCTTCCCGCGTCATATGCTAATGAGGTGGTGACGAGAGGCGCGCGTTGGCGCGCCCTGACGTCACCGCGCGGGAAAGGAGGGGGGGGGAGAAGGAGGAGCAAGTTAGACCCCGCCCACTGCGTGTATTGGAGTTTACAGTCATCAGCATGGCAGTGGGGGCACCGCCATGAGGTCAAGGCCACCGGTGTGGGATTGAGAGCATCTGTATGGGGTTGGAGGCATCAACATGGGGTTGAGGGCATCAACATAGGGTTTGGGACATGAAAATGGGGTTGGGGTCAGTAAGGGTTGACACATGGTTGGAGGCATCACCCTCGGGTTTTGGGTCATCTGCATTGGAAGACGGTAGGGGGCATCAATACGGGGTTGAGGCACCAGTGTGACATTGGGGACATCATCATGAGATCAAGGGCATCAACATAGGGTCACGGGCACCAACACAACAATGGGGCACTAACATGGGGCCAAGGGCATCAATACGGGGTGGGAGGTATCAAGATGGGGTTGAGGGCATCGGTGCCAAAGTGACTAACACAGAGTCAAAGGCATCAGCATAGGGTTGGGGACACCAAAGTGGGGGGTTAGGTCACTAACATGGGATCGAGGGCATTGGCACAGGCTTGGGGACACTACCATGAGGTCAAGAGCATTAACACATGGTTGGAGGCATCAGCCTGGGGTTTGGGTCAGCTGTACTGGCATGGGATGCCATCAACACAGGGTTGAGGGCATCAGTGTGACACTGAGGGCACCAACATGAGGTCAAGGCCATTGACATGGGGTTGGAAGCATCAACATGGGGTCGAGGGCACCAAGAGAGCTTTGAGGCCATCAGCATAACATCAGGGGCACCACTATGGGATGATGAACACCAATGAGGTAGGGGGTCCCCCACCTCTCCCCCCCATTACCCTCATCCTCCTCGCCCCCCCCCCCCAACACCCCAAAGCCTCCCACAAAAGAGCCAGAAGATGGAGAAAAGGCTTTAATGCGCGGTGGGGAGGAGCAGTGGGGACCGAGGAGGAGCAGGGCGCCCCAGCCAGGTGGTTGGGGCCACCATGGGGTGAGGAGGGGGCTTAGAAGCATTTTCGGTGGACGATGGAGGGTCCGGCCTCGTCGTACTCGGGTTTGCTGATCCACATCTGCTGGAAGGTGGAGAGGGACGCCAGGATGGAGCCGCCGATCCACACCGAGTACTTGCGCTCCGGCGGGGCGATGATCTGTGGGGACAGGACCCAGTGTAAGGTAAATCCACCCTCAAACCTGCACTAGGAGATGATTTCGGGCGTTGGTGGCCATGGGTTTGCTCCCCATCACCATCACCTACTTTGATCTTCATGGTGCTGGGAGCCAGCGCCGTGATCTCCTTCTGCATGCGGTCGGCGATGCCGGGGTACATGGTGGTGCCGCCGGACAAGACGTTGTTGGCGTAAAGATCCTTGCGGATGTCGATGTCGCACTTCATGATGGAGTTGTAGGTGGTCTCGTGGATGCCGGCTGACTCCATGCCTGGAGGGCAAGGGGGCTGTCAGCACCCTCACCTCTGGCCATGCCCCACAGAAGAGGCTTGTACCCCCTCAATTTGGGGTGCAAAGCAATTGGGAGAGGCCTGAATGCTGCTGTGGTGCACCTATGGGAGGTGGTTGCCGGCTGCTGGGGTGATGGGGATGTGGTCAGGAGCACCAACACAACACTGGAGGTGCCAACATGGGGCTAATGGCATCAATAGGGGCTTGGAAGCATCGCCATGGGGATAAAGGCATCACCATGGGGTTGGAGGCACCAAAATGGGATTGGAGGCATCAACACGGGGCCAAGGGCATCACCATGGAGTTGGAAGCACCAACATGGGGCCAGAGGCACCAACATGGGACGAAGGTCATCAACATGGGGCTGGAGGCATCAACACGGGGCCAAGGGCATCACCATGGAGTTGGAAGCACCACCGTGACACTGGCAGCACCACCATGGATCTGGAGCCACTAACATGGGACCAAGGGCATCACCATGGAGTTGGAAGCACCACCATGACACTGGCAGCACCAACACCTCGGTGTCCTAGGGGACCGCAGGACAACTCGGGGCGCGCTCACCGATGAAGGAGGGTTGGAACAGGGTCTCGGGGCAGCGGAAGCGCTCGTTGCCGATGGTGATGACCTGCCCATCGGGGAGCTCGTAGCTCTTCTCCAGCGAGGAGGAGGAGGCAGCCGTGGCCATCTCGTTCTCGAAGTCAAGGGCCACGTAGCAGAGCTTCTCCTTGATGTCACGCACGATTTCCCTCTCGGCTGTGGGAGGCGATGGGGAACGGGCTCAACCCGGGGCTGTTTGGGGTCCCCCCTTCCCTTCCAAACCCTGCTCCGGGCCCCGTACCGGTGGTGACGAAGGAGTAGCCCCTCTCGGTGAGGATCTTCATGAGGTAGTCGGTGAGGTCGCGGCCGGCCAAGTCAAGGCGCATGATGGCGTGGGGCAGCGCGTAGCCCTCGTAGATGGGCACGTTGTGGGTGACGCCGTCCCCAGAGTCGAGGACGATGCCTGGGAAGGGTGGGAATGTGAGGGAAGAGGCTTGGAGCTTGGTCGCTGCCCCATCACGGATGGTCCTCGGGATGCTGGTGCCCTACTCACCGGTCGTGCGGCCGGAGGCGTAAAGGGAGAGGACGGCTTGGATGGCGACGTACATGGCGGGGACGTTGAAGGTTTCAAACATGATCTGGGAGGAGGGATGAGGGCAGCAATGGGTTAGGGGGGAGCATGGGGGGTCCCCAGCACATCCCACCCCAACCCATGCTTGGGAAACCACAAAGATCATTGCATTGAATGGAAAAGTAGGTGGATCACTGCGGTGGGTCCATGTGAACACGGGAACGCACCACTCATTCCTCTGCCTTCATTCCTCTCATCCCTCACCACTGGCTCCTCTGCTCCGTGCCAGCCCCTCCTGGCTCCCTAAACCCCTGAATCCCATGGTTCCAGAGCATCCATCCCCATGCCTGTGGCTCAGCAGCCCCTCACCTGGGTCATCTTCTCCCGGTTGGCCTTGGGGTTGAGGGGTGCCTCGGTGAGCAGGGTCGGGTGCTCCTCGGGGGCCACGCGCAGCTCGTTGTAGAAGGAATGGTGCCAGATCTAAAGGCAGGCAAAGAATTGGGGGGGGGGGGGCTCACCCCAAACCGCAGCTGGAGCTGGGCCCCCCCTCTCCATCCCGGTCCGGATCTCACCTTCTCCATGTCATCCCAGTTGGTGATGATGCCGTGCTCAATGGGGTACTTGAGCGTGAGGATACCCCTCTTGCTCTGCGCCTCATCGCCTACGTAGCTGTCTTTCTGCCCCATGCCCACCATGACACCCTAATGCCAGCAAGAGACGCCCTCATGAGCTTAATGGCATTGATTAAAGCAGGGTGGGGGCTGCTGTTCCCCCCCTCGGGTACCAACCTGGTGCCGGGGCCGCCCCACGATGGAGGGGAAGACGGCGCGAGGGGCATCGTCACCGGCGAACCCGGCCTTGCAGAGGCCGGAGCCGTTGTCACAGACCAGGGCGGTTGTTTCCTCCTCGCACATGGTGGGGCCGGGAGCTGCTGGTGGTCAGGGGGGACCTGGGGGGAAAAGCTGGGGCAAGGCGGGGGGAAAAGCCTTAAAGTGGGGGTTAAAGGGTTAAAAGGTTGGGGGGGACAGGGGGGCAACGCGGCGCCGTGTCCAGATTTGGGTGTTGGGAGGGATGGAGGCCGTGGGGATGTGGAGGTCCCCAAAGTCATCTGGTGGTCATGGAGAGGGGCAGCCGCTGGGTCCAGCCCTGGCTTGTGGATGCTGAGAGCAGGATGCAGCTGGGAATGGGATGATGATGCTGGGAGCGGGGTGATGTTGGGAGCAGGATGAGGCTGGCTGGGGGATGATGATGGTGGGATAAGGATGAAGCTGAGAGCAGGATGCAGCTGGGAATAGGATGATGATGGGGGGACCAGGCTGGTGCTGGGAGCAAGGTGAAGCTGAGAGCAGGATGGAGCTGGGAGCAGGATGATGACGGTGGGATCAGGATGAAGCTGAGAGCAGGATGAAGCTGGGAATGGGATGATGATGGTGGGATCAGGGTGATGCTCATTCCCCATGCGTGCTGCTCCACGCTGTTGCTTCTCCATCTTTCCAGTGCCCAAAATAGGTACCAAAGCTCCTGCCCATGCTTGCCCAGCAGCAGCATTCCCAAGAGAGCTCCGGTGTGGCTGTGCCTGGCCAGTGCCCCTGGAGCGGGCAGGGTGAAGGCAGGCAATGCCCTCTCATCCAGTCCCATCGTGGCTGCCTCTTGCTGCTCTGCCCTCACATCCTTTCCCAAAAATGGGAAAAAACCATCCCTTCCCAAGGGGTGTCCCCCTCCATTGGATGCGCTCCCAAATCCAGGGGGAATAAGGCAAAAACACCCCAAAACCCCCAAATCATGAGGAATCCTGGCAGAGCAGGACCCACTTTGGCCATAACCCAGCTCTGCCACCTCCATGGATTCCCCCACCTGCGGGGTCGTGCTGGGGTTGGCACCATCCCTGTGCCCTGCAAAGCAAACCGGGGTCCTTCCCCCCCCCCCCCCCATCAACGCTGGGGCACCCCAAAACCCTGCTGGGGAGCTTGTCCTGCAAGGCAAAGGGGATGCAGGGGCTGGGCTGTACTCACCGCAGAGGCGAGGGCTCCTTTCCTCTGGGACCGAATCCCGAAGAGCCTTTGGTATAAATACGTGAAGGCTCAGAGGCGGGTCCTGCCTAAACAAAGACCCTAAATAGGCTCAGTGATGGTGTGTTGGCCTTATGGCCATATAAGGTGCTTTATTTCATTAACTTGACCTTGGGCTGGTGGCCGGGCCCGGCACTGTTAATTATTGCAAGACAAAAGCCATGTGGAGGCACTTGGGAGGCGAGGACTCACCCCTGAGTCTGCTCCTTTTATGCTCCATGCTGATAAACAAGAGAGACTCAAGTCCTTATAAGTGATGGGCTCGGCAAAGAGGAGGTGGGACCACGGCTGGTTCCTGAGGACAACGTGGAGAAACCTCATCCGGGTGTCAGGGGGGACGCCGTGGGGCTGGGGTGGGGATTTGGCATCACTGAGGTGATGGGGATGCGCTGGGTTGGAGCATCGCTTCCTCCTGGGTTCGTTCTCCCCCCATCCCCAGTGTGCAGCATCTTCGGGATGGGGTCTTCTCTCTCTCTGAACCCATTCTGGGGCTTGTGGTGCCCCCAGACCCCCAAATCCTCAGCTCAAAGGTGCCCGCATCACGGATGCTCACCTCCTCCAAAGGAGGATCTTGGATGCAGGATGAGCCTGGATCCCCACCAGGGGCGATGTGGGTGCTGCTCCCTGTCCCCTGTCCCGAATGCAGCACGGATGGAGCCCCCTCCAACCCTGCAGATGCAGCTTTGGCCTTTCCAGAGGCCAACCAGCAGCTGCCAAGCCATCGTCTGCCTTTTTAAGGGCAATGGTCCCACATTGGGGATGCTCCCTGAGCACCCAGGACACCGGGGGGGGGGGAGGCAGGATTGATGCCCCAAAGCCACCATCCAGAGCTATGGGGCTTGGGTTGCAGGTGGGGAAACTGAGGCACGGGGTGCCCCAGCTGCTTCCTGCTTTGCTCTATAGGGTCTGGGTTGTGCTCAGGGCAGGGACATCAAGATAAGGACCAAGAGCTGCAGGGTCCCATCACTGCCACCACATGGGACATGCGAGTCCTGGTGTCCTCCCCCCCAACCCCAGCCCCAACAGACAGGGTCATGGCGTGTCCCAGCACAACCAGCTCACAACAACCCCCCCATGGGTCCCGGGTATCCCCCGTCCTCAGCACACAGGGGCTGGATTTGTGCCCTGGATGTGCACTTGTTGGTGTATCCCTACCACACGCCCTGAGGAACCTTCCTCCACCTCCCATCCCAACCCAGTTCCCTTGGTCCACTGCCAACCATGAGGTCACCCAGGCAAAAGGTTGCCATATATGACATGCTGGGGGAAATAAAAGAGGCAGAATTAACCCCAAACCCAATGCGGGGATGGGGGGAAGAAATAATGGGAATGGATGGAGGTCCTCCAAGGCTGGTGCTTGGAGGCTCCATACGGAGGGAGCACGGATGTGCTGGGGGCTGCATGGAGCCCGAGGTGAGCCCAAGGACCCCCGTGAATGGGTGCAAAGCACCCCAAAGCCCTGCTCCACAGCACAAAGTCCTGCTGCTGTTCCATCCTTGCTGTTTACCAGGCACAGGCGGGTCCAGCTCCAAGCTCCTGATCCCTGCAGGATCCCTCGGCACCGCAGTCGGGATGGATGGGAAGCGTCGGCACGGCCGCTTTGGAGCTGGGACCGCAGCAGCAAAGCCTCCAAGCAGGCAGGAGCAGGCGTGCAGCCTAAAAAGGAAAGGTTTGGCCATCGCAGCCAATCCAGCCGCCGGCTCTGCCGGTGCTTGGGAGCATCGGGAGCGTGGCCACGGCCCTGGGATGCTCCCAGGAACGCCAAGAATCCCCCAGCACCGGCAAAGCTGGATGGATGTGGGATAAAGGAGGGGGCAATCCCTGCTTTGTGTGGGATTTCAATACTCCCGGCCCTCAGCACCTCCCTATAAGGGAAATGTTCACGCTTTAAACCTCACCGGCTGCTGCCTGGGATGGACAAACCAGCGCTGGGAGCTGGAGCAGGGATTTGGGTCTGTTCCCATCCCTGAGGCGCAGATAAGCATCATTCCCTGGCTGCAGCACACAGAACCTGGGCATAAACCCTTCCTGCAACGGGTGGTGGCTGTTAAGGCTGCTCCTACCAACTGCAACCCTGTTTTAAGGTGTCTCCATCACATTCGGAGCAGCTGGAGATGGGATGGGTTAGTGGGACACAGGGAGCAGCGCTCATCCTGACCCGTAACTGGATGACTCAGTGGCTTTAAGTGATAAAATGTGATTCAAAAGGCAGGAGCTGGCTCCTGACGTGAGGAACACAGAAGCATCTTTAGTCAGTGGGAAGGCTGATGAGGGAGGTAGTGCTCTGCCACCAGCTCCCCTCTGCTCAATGCTGGGGTCAGCTCAAGCCTCAGCCCTTCAGGAATGAGGAGCTGAGATAAATTCACCACCAATTGGAAGGAATTGCTGCTTTGCCAGATGGGATTCAACTCTGCTGCTATGGGGGTGAAGAGCAGAGCCTCCATCCTGCAGGGAATCAACCAGGTTGGAAAAGAGCTTTGAGCTCATCAAGTCCAACCCTTCCCCAGCACTGCCATGGCCACCACTGACCCCTGTTAGAGCTTTCTCTTCTCCATCTGAACCCCCCAGGTCCCTCAGCCCTTCCCCATCACCCCTGTGCTCCAGGCCCTGCACCAGCTCCATTCCCTTCTCTGGCCCCGCTCCACACCTCAATGTCTCTGTTGTAGTGAGGTCCCCAGAGCTGAACACAGGATTTGAGGTGCAGCCTCACCAGTGCCCAGTGCAGGGGCACAATCCCTGCCCTGGCCCTGCTGCCTCACTGGTGCTGATCCGGGCCAGGATGCTGGGCGCTGCCTGGGCACAAGCTGCTCGTGTTCAGCTCCATCAATCAGCACCCCCAGCTCCTTCCCCATGAGCCGTTCCCAGCCATAATTCCCCAAGCCTGGAGCGTTGCAGGGGTTGTTGTGGCCCAAGTGCAGGACCCAGCCTTTTGCCTTGTTGAACCTCATGGAGCTGTGGGACGAAGGAATGTCTTCCACTGAGGCTGCAACACACACCCCTGAGCGTGGTTTAAATAAATCAGGGCTGAAAGCTCCCACAGATGTCCTGAAGTCCTCCTGCTACCAAGGCCAACTGCACTTTGTCACGCAGGAGGTGGTTGCTGCACATAAACACCCCTCTTAAGGAACGGGTTCCCTCCTGCTCTCAGGCATACCAGCCCCACTGAGTTAGCTCAAAGAAACCAAGAACCCAGCCAGGATAATACAATCCATCTGTGTTAAACTGCACCAAACGATGTGGGATGTGGAAGTACAAGGATGTGACATACAGAACACGTATGTATGCGTGCCACGTGGGAAGGCAACTCCAGCCTCTTCGTCCTCCCCTCACGGCCATGTGCTGATCATCAGAGCATCCTGCCAGAGGATGTGGAGATGATGCGGATCATGCTCAGGCCTTTGAGGCCAGATGCCTTCCACCTTTCAGTGCTGCTGCTTCCCTTTCAGCGAGGGTGGAGGCTCTGCCATGGACAGGCTGGGAAGCTTGGAATCCCACCAAAGGAACTGGGAGGTCCCCGGCTGGTACCGCACCACAGCGGTGTCACGGAGCGCTGGTTTTGGCAAGGACAGACTTCACACTGCTTGGAGAAGCGTAGGGACCATTGGCCATGATGATCTTGGAGGATCCAAGTGGCAAAAGCTGCTGGAGTCCCACCTCAGAGGTGTGGTGGCCTTGCAGAGCCTTCACAGGACAGCAAGAGACTGAGAGCTTCATCCATGGTAACACCAGCAACGAGCTGAACCTGAGCCCTCATCAGGCAGCACAAGGCCTGGAGCAAATCCCTCCCTCCAGGAAAAGGAATAAGGCAAGCAGACCCCCCTCAGCAGTGCTGCAATGAAGCAGCTTGTGCATCAAAGCACCTTCTCCCCCGAAACAGGGGTTCCCAAAGCAGTTTAGGCCTCTTCCTACCTCACTAGGCAAAGACCTGAGTACCAGCAAGCAGGGCATGGTCTGGCTCAGCAGTGATAAGCTCTGGCATGGGGTAAGAGGGGTTAGGAAGGTTTAATCTTAAACTAAAACAAAGACTTACCTACTCCAGCCAGCTGCACTGGGACCACAGCAACCCAGGGAGGCAAAACATGGGTTTAGCAAGGGTTAATCTGGGCAAATCCCACTTTGGAAAGCACTTGAAGAGGTTGCCCCAGCTCATGTTTGCAGCGAATCATGAGGAATCCCCTCCCCAGAAGCTATTTAAGCCATAGATTAGAGTATTAAACAATTGCTGTTAGCTCCCATCTCTGAATTCCCAGTTAGCTTCTCCCCACACCCTGAACCTCAGCACCACTTCACCAGTCTGATGCCAGGCACTGAGGTTTCACATGCTCCCACTGAGGTCAGGGCACCGATTTCACCGCGTTTATTGGGCGAGGAAGGGGAAAGATCACTACACGGTGGAAATCATCTGCTACAGGAGACAAAACCAATTCCCTAGGCTCAGAAACTGGGTAGATGCTTTCCTGTATGTGCTTAAGGCAAGAGGCCTATCGGAGATCCATCAGGACTACGTCTCTCTCGACTACTGACACGTGATTGCAGGTCTGAAAGAGAAGGGAAGAGAAGGAGGGGACAGGGGGGTTATCCAGATGTTATCCAGCTCAGGTGAGCCTCCTGACACCACCTGCACACAGGGTACTACACAGAACAGCCCTCATGGACCAGGAACCAGTGCCACAGGGACCATAGCAAGACACAAATACACACCCCAAGCCTTTGCCACCTCCTCGACCTGTTTCTGCTCTGCATCGCACCAATATGCACTAACAAGAGTGAAAGCTCCTGGCACCTCAAATCTAGAAGATCCATACCCTGCCAGGCTGACCCTCCTGTCCTGGGTCACAGCCCAGCACAGACACAGGCACCAATTCAACTCGTGGTCCTGCAGCCCTGCTGCCTCGTGGGGTCACTTACAGTGAAGAGAGGGGGGTCTTTGGAGTGCGGGTGGAATCCTTTCTGCCGGCAGGAAGAGATCTCGTCCAGGCCATGCTCTGTCAGCTTGAAAAACCCTGTCCTACAGCAAATAAACACAACCTCTGTGTGGCTCAAGCCTCTGCAAAGAGAAGCCCCTCTGCTGGGTCTCAAGGAGCACGCTTGAGCCTGCTCATCTCAAGTGAGAGCGGGCAAGGATGCTGCAGGACACCCACGTGCCCAGAACCTCCTCTCCACAGCCCTACAGCTGCAGACCAGTCTCCTTCCATAGAATCCAGACTCACAGCATGGTTTGTGTTGGAAGGGACCTTAAAGCTCATCCAGCTCCAACCTCTGCCATGGGCAGGGACACCTTCCACTAGAGCAGCTTGCTCCAAGCCCCTGTGTCCAACCTGGCCTTGAACACTGCCAGGGATGGGGCAGCCACAGCTTCTCTGGGCACCCTGTGCCAGCGCCTCAGCACCCTCACAGGGAAGAGCTTCTGCCTAAGAGTTCATCTCAGTCTCCCCTCTGGCAGGTTAAAGCCATTCCCCTTGGCCTGTCCCTACAGGCCCTTGTCCAAAGCCCCCTTCTACAGGTGGGCATCCATTGCCCAGGTACAACCCCCCCAGACCAGCTCAGAAGAGCTGTCAACTCACACGTGCTCTTCCAGCCTCATTAGATGACTTGATGCTTTATACCCACACCAGGAATCCGACAGAGGAAGGGCTGTGGTAAAGACCCCTTCAATGCCTCCTTTTGGTGGGTCAGCACAGGCAGAGGGAAAGGCCTTCCCTACCCACATCCATACTTACTCCTGGTATTTTGGAGAACACACGATAGCAATGGACTCTGGCAACATCATCTGGTAGGAGCAGTGTGTGTGCAGGTCGACGCTGGAGAGGAAGGCTGTCTGCGTGGGGTGAGTCTGCAACACAGGACAACATAAGAGAGGAAGTTAAGGCAGGGTTGGAGAGCTGGTCCAAAGGGACAGTGTCCAACAAGGGAAGCAACACAGCTCCTTGGATTGCACAGAGAACACACTGAAAAGAGGTTTAGATTGTCCTAAAACATCTCCTCTTTCTCCATTCAGAATACAGGGGGAGTTCCACATCTCTGGCCATATCCCACAGGAAGTCACGCTTCAAGGCACAACACTTTTAGGTACCCCACTGCCAAAGCCCTCCAAGAAACCACTTCCACCAAGATGGCCAAGGGTTGTAGAGACAACCAGCACCTCACCCAACCCCATCTCACAGGTGGATTTCACAGCCTAAAGGTCTTGTTTTGTCTGTTAGGGCTTGGTTTTTGTTGCCCAGACCAGTGGAAAGGTCCAAGGAACCCTTGAGGGTCCCTGAATGTCACGGAGCTGTCACTGAAGAGTCAACCCCAAAGCAGCCACCCTGCATATATCAGGCACTCTGCAGCAGGCATTTACTTGTCAAAGCCCTCGAGGCAGCTGCTGCTTTCTAGAGATTACTCAGCAGCACCAAACATTTTGCTTGGCAGGGATCTGACTGCCAAAGGCTCCACAGGGACAGGGAACAGGGCACTGCTGGAGCCAGCAGAGGAATCTGGAGCTGGCACATCCCAGGGCAGAGCAGCACACAGTTCCCTGTGAAAAGCAGCGCTACTACAGGGATGCAGCATGGGAGAGGCCCTGTGCTGAGAGCAGGAGCTCAGGACCCAACAGTCAGGGACTCCCCTGGAATCAGCTTTTAGCCGGGTGCAACATGAGCTTCATGTGTCCCACTTCAAAGGGCTTGATGCTTTAGGAAGGGACCCAAACTTAACATAGGCCCAGGTGTCTCCAGCAGTGTGAATAGTGACTGGGATGGCACCAGAGGGAGAAATTCAACCAGAGGATGCTGCCATCTCCACGCCAAGGTGTGGGAGCAAGTGCAGAGGAGGCCACGAGGATGCTCAGGGGCTGGAGCAGCTCCCGTATGGAGCCAGGCTGAGAACACTGGGGCTGTTCAGCCTGGAGAAGAGAAGCTGTGTGGAGACCTCAGAGCAGCTTCCAGTGTCTGAAGGGGGCTACAAGGATGCTGGGGAGCGACTCTTCATCAGGGACTGTAGCAACAGGACAAGGGGTGATGGGTTCAAACTGAAACAAGGGATGTTCAGGCTGGAGATAAGGCAGAAGCTCTTCCCTGTGAGGGTGCTGAGGCACTGGCACAGGGTGCCCAGAGAAGTGGTGAATGCTCCATCCCTGGCAATGTTCAAGGCCAGGTTGGATGGGACTTGGGTGACATGGTCTAGTGTGAGGTGCCCCTGCCTATGGCAGGGGGTTGGAACTGGATGATCTTAAGATCCTTTCCAACCCAAACCATTCTGTGATTCTATGATCTCCTCCAGTAAACTCTCCTCCACCAGCCCTGTTCCATGCACCCCTTTCTCTCCTGCCTGAATTTAAGGCCAGTTGGGAAGTGAAACAGGAACCAGAGACTCACATGGATCCAGCCCAGTGTCACAAGGCTGTGTTGATCCTGGATCATGAAGAGCTCCTCCTCATTCTCTGTGTTGCAGTAATCGGGCCCCCCGTGCTGCTTGGGAACGATGACGTGGGTTATGGTGAACTCGTTCCTCATCTGCAAGGCAGCACAGGGAGGCTGTTACCCACCAGACACCCCCAAGCAGGAAACAAGGGTAATTTCCTAAGCTTTGGAACATGGTCCTTCTACATTCAGAGCTCAGGGGCCCGGCCAGGGGAACAGCAGGCCTGGAAACAAGCCCATGGATGCATTCACCATCCAGTTACGGGTCATAGACATGGTAACTGCAAGTTACTGGCAAAGGAGTCACAGGGTTTTCTGAGTCTGAGCATGCCACATGGCTTTCTATTTAATTTCCCCTGCTGTGCAGAGCACCCACAAGAGCTCAGAGAAGCCCTGGACGCCCACTGAGTGAATCTCTCCACTCACCAGGAGATGATGCCTCATAATTAAACAATCATCATGAGTTTAGAAGCAGCTGCATTGCAGAAAGCTGCCACATCAAACAGCTTCATCTTAAAGCACACTTCTGCGAGCAAAGCAGCCCCAGGTGACTCAGGGAGACAGGATGGAGCTGCCAATAGAAACCTGGGCATGCAAACACTGTCTGGGGGAGAACTAACTGTCTCCAGAGAGTGTTTGCACAACCTTGTCTTGGTGGGGGTCCTAGTTCACAGCTGGGACACCTCAGTCCTGCTGGTACCAAAAGGACAAACAACCGGAGCTGCCTGTCACTGGCAACACGGGGGGGCTTGAGGCAGGAGAGAGGAAACCGAATACCCATGGGGACTTGGCAGCTGGCACCTCACTCAGTATAAGGAGATCCTAACGTAAAAGGGAGGGAAAGAAGAGGCAGATCATCCTCTAGCATGACCAGCAGGTCAAAGGAGCTCTGCCCCTCTGCTCTTATAAGACCCCATTTGCAGCAGTGTGTGCAGAAGAGGCCACAAGATGCTCAGGGGCTGGAGCACCTCCTCTACGGAGCCAAGCTGAGAACACTGGGGCTGCTCAGCCTGGAGAAGAGAAGCTGCGTGGAGACCTCAGAGCGGCTTCCAGTGTATGAAGGGGGCTACAAGGATGATGGAGAGGGTTGGAATTAGAATTATAGAATGGTTTGGGTTGGAAGGGATCTTAAGATCATGCAGTTCCAACCAACTAGATCATCATCCCTCGAGTAGATGTCTTTCATTTTTTCCAACCGAAATCATTCTGTGATTCTATCCCTAACGCTCACATGGAAGCCGAGCCACCAGCTAAACAGCACTACAGCCTTCTGTGGCAAGAATCAGGGTCCTCCAGCCATTTCCAAAGCACCTTGACAAAAGGTCCCTGTGCCACTTGAAGGGTCTTAATCAGGATTAGCACCTTACCAGCTTACCACAGAGGATCCCACATGTCTCCACACCCCGGACTGTGTTGGCATCAGCCAGCTGGAGGAATTTCTGACACAGCTCCCTAGGGACAATGACCTGGCGAAGGATGCCCATGCCTGCATCTGTGGGGAGAATGGGAGCACAATGACAGTCAGGGACACTGGAGAAATGGGCCTTTAGGTCAGTACCTGAAGGGATTAGGCTGAGGAAAATCATCCTAAAAACATGAACTGCTCTAACGGTGACCCTCACAATGGTAGTCACAGACACTGAAGTCACTGAGATGCTTCATAAAGGGCAGTGACTACCTCTTTCAGAACAGGGTAAAGGCACATAGACAGAGAAACACCTTTAGCAATGTGTTAAACCCCCCAATATTTTGTTAATAACAATGAACACCTTCCCCCCCCCACTTACAGAATGTCATTTAAATAAGATGTGCCACTGGTCAAGAACTACTCATTTAGAAGTGTCTGAATCAGTATTTTGGAGCCATATTTAGCTAGAGAGGGTTTCGTGAGGAAGAGGATTCAGTCAGCCTTAGCCAAGAACTCAACCCCAAGCTCCAACATTTGGATCTAGGAAAGCCAAACAGGCTGTAGCCCCTAGATCAGCAGAGATTGGGCTAAGGAAGCATGGTGGGGGCAATTCCCAAGAGGAAACACTTCTCCCCAGCCCTACAAACCTTTACAGGACAACAGGGACAACATCCAGTGACTTGGAAAGCCAAACCCCCCGACGGGATGGAATCACAATCAGATATTTCCAAGAGCCTCCCAACAGATCAGCTCTTTGGCTGTTTGGCTGAGCCCAGCAAGGGAGAAGGGTGCACTGAGGGGTACTAACTGTTTTCTGTGCTTCCCAAAGCACTGGGTTTCAAAGACCTGTCCACAACAGGAGGTTTGGATGAGACAGTCCCCGCTGATGGACTTGCAGGATGAACTGGAGAGACTGGGATTGAATCAGTTGGGGGCTTTTCCATGCCAGGGATGAGGGGCCCATCCAGAGCCATAGGACTTGGTTCTGGCTGTCCAAATTCCTGCACTATCCTCAGGCGCTCCTTCTCCAGCTCCTGTCGTCGGATCATCTCCTCAAAGACATGGAACTGCTCTTGCTCTGCCTGCTGCTGCTTCATCAGGGCCACCCGATTCCTCTCCTCCTCCAGCTGCTGCTGCAAAGCCAAATTGCGTGCAAATGCCTCTTCCTCCGCTTTCTGCAAGGGGAAACACCACGGGACATCAGCAGGCAGGGGAACACGAGGCCTCCACACTGCAGACCCTCAGTAATCCCAGGGGGTTTCAAAATAACCAGCAAAAAGCACCCCCTGCAAGGAAGCTTCAGCTTATAACACAGAGATCCACACCTCCATCAGGAGAGCCAGCCAGACCAGGGCAGTAAAACTGCTGTCTTACCTTCCTTATTCCACAGAAATGGAATTCCAGGTTGATTCCCCTCTATCCTATCTCTAAAATTGCACTTGTCTGCAGCAAAACTGACTGCAGTTTTCTACTTTGCCCACACAACCCTAGATCCTTGTTCGTGCTGTTACCAGCTACCTGCTGAGTACCATAAGACCTAAACCTCATGTTGTGACAAAGAGGGCAAAACCCCAACCAACAGTCAGCTCACTGCCTCCAGGATGCACAAAGATGCAGAGGGGCCTATGTCTGATTCACTCACATACCAGCAGCAGAGACATGATCATAACAACCCTGTGCTGCAGTGATGAGGTTGGACCCTGCAGGGTGGGGTTACCCAGGCATCACACTCCAGAACACCCAGGGAACCCTGGAGACCTGCTGTTTTCCAGACCCTTTGTGGCTCAGGGTCTTCTGGGGAGCACAGGTCTCCAGTCTCCTGTCACTCACCTTCTGCTCCTTGTACTTAGCATAGTCCTTGGCGTACCTCTTTAACAGCTCCTTCTTGAGCTCTTCAGCTCGGGGGAAGGCTACTTCTTTCAGTTTCTGAAGGGAGGAAACACAGTCAGGAGAGGGTGATAGCCTCAAGGCAAGGCAAACAGGACCTGAAGAGATGCAAGAATCGATGGACAGGCAGCACCCAGAGGTTATAAACCATCCAGGAGGAAGGAAGGGCTGAACAGCTCCACCACGTGTGGGCAGGCTTGCAGAGAGGTTGTAGCTGGGTCACACAAACAGCAACGCCAACACCACTGAGCAAGAGTTTCGGCAGCATTGTCCTTTGCTCTTCTGCTCAATGTGGAAGAGAGGAGCAGTAGCCTCTTGTGTCCAAGAAACCTGTGGCAAATCCCTTGAGCACCACCACGCTGAGCATCCAGCCACCATGCACGGAAAAGCCACGTGGTCTTTGAAATGCAAGGACTTTAACAGGAACAAAAAGACATCCCAATGCTCAGCAGCAAGTAAAGTGGACAACCACAGCCCAGAACCATGGAATGGTTTGGGCTGGAAAGGACCTTAAAGCTCTTCCACTTCCAACCCTCTGCCATGACCAGGGATGCTTCACACTAGACCAAGGCTCTGTCTAAACTGGCCTTGAACACTGCCAGGGATGGGGCAGCCACAGCTTCTCTGGGCACCCTGTGCCAGTGCCTCAGCACCCTCACAGTAAAGAACTTCTGCCTTGTATCTCACCTGAACTTCCCGTTTCAGTCTGAACCCATCACCCCTTGTCCTATCACTACAGTCCCTGATGAAGAGTCCCTTTCCAGCGTCCTTGTTGGCCCCCTCAGATATTGCTTCCCAGTGTTTGTGTGGCTCACTCGCCCCAGGGCCACGAAAACCCCATGGGGCTCATAACCCCAAAGGATTTCCAACAGCAGCATTAAAGTCTTGGCCTTGTTACTACTCACTTTCACTGTCTCCCTCTTCTCAGGTATGACAGCAGTTTTGTAATCACGGTGCTGTGGCAGCTTCTCGATGAAGAGCCTGTAAATACAAGAGAGAAACTGCATCTCAGAGCAGAAAGGGACAAACACAAGACACTAAGTGGCATATCTGGGGTCATGGAGCATGCCCCTCTAGCACTGCCCCCTTGCTCTGCCACCTCCCTGGGCCCTGTGCTCCCCACAATCAGGACAGTCACCTTCTTTCTGCAGGAAGCCATCATGTAACAGCCTCCTGAGCTCTTCAGGCACACAGATCTCATTGAGTCCCAGGGGAGCACCGCACACCTGGACTTTGGAGATGATCCTCAGGGATAAATCCTTTTGTTTTGAACAGAAACATTAACAAGCTGGTCTAAACCACCAAGGACTCTGGCAGAGATTCAGAAAGGTCCTTGGGCACCTGCCTACACCTCTGTGAGCATCCAAGGGGATCACACACAAGCTCAAGGATTCAGCTGACTCAGTGCTCACATGGTCCTTCTGTACAAAGGAACACTTTGTGCCTGAGATGGGGAAATCAGCTCAGACCTTGAAAAGAGAAAACTTGCAGGAAAGCTAAAAGCATGTTCACATCCCCAGCTTCTGCATCAGGAGCCTTTTGGCTCTGTGTCCTCAACCATGCCCCAAGGTCAGGGCAGTGTTTCAGGCAGCAGAGCTGCTTCTGTGCAGGCTTCACAGAATCACAGACTGGGTTGGGTTGGAACCTCAGAGCTCATCTAGTTCCACTCTCTGTGACTATGAACAGGTTAAGCTTCAGCTTCTCTACAAATGGGATAATGCTCCCCTGCCAGTGAGCTCTGCAGTGAAGAGGCAAGCTCTAGAAGTCCTGCAAGCACTAGAACAAGGAAAGCAGCCTGCAAACACAGGACAATTCACTCTGGTTCATCTCTCTGAGGCTCCCCGGGCTTGAGGCATCCCTGAGTTCTCTCTGGTATCAAGTCCCCGGTTGTGCACAAGCAGACAGCGTGCTCAAGGTGAGCTCAGCTGAGTCCTTGTCTCCTGCTAGTGGAGCTGTGCTTGCTCTGAGTCCACAAAAGCCTGTGGCTGTAAGGCAAAATCCCTGCCCTCCTCTGTGGCTCTCTTATACCACTTCAGCATCTGAAGAAGGATGCTCTCCAGATCCTTTAGGCACAAGGAATAAGGGTAGTGAGGACGAGACTGTACCCCAGGGAGCAGCACAAACCAAGCAGGAAGAACTCAGAGGGGACAGAGTGAGAACACTCCTCACGCTGAGAAGCCTCTGTGTGTGCAGTAAATAAACCCATCTGGTTCAAACCTCAGTCCTCTGGGAGAAAGAAAGACTTTTTGCAACCCCAAATGCTCCTGGTTGCCACGGAGAGGGTGAGGATGCTCTTGCCAGAGGCCACGGGATCAGCATAACCACGTCACAGCCTGGAGCCACAGAGAAGCTCCCTCTCCATTTGAAACACACAGCGAGGTCCCTGCTCCCAGCTAGTGGTTGTTCATGAAGTAGGTCACTGTGTCGAGGAGACAAAACAAGGCAGTGCTCATTGCCAGCAGCGAGCTGATTAAAATGGAAGGCATTAATTAAAAAGGATTAAGAGCAGATGCTGGCCTGGAGAGGATGGAAAAACCAGCGGAGCCAGCTGGGGTTTCACATGTCAGGAAGGGGGGAAAGCAGGCAGGATGAGAGGGGACTCAGGCTGCCAGAGGAAATCTCTGGGACAAGACCAGGCAGTGGCAGGCTGGGGATGGAGGCAGAAGAAGGGCAGGAACTGTTCATGTTTCCTACTGACATCCCACCACGGCCTGGCAACACTGGAACCAGCAGTTTCGAGCTAGTTCAAAGCTTCTCCTGCTCCCAAGTCCACCCCAAGCAGCAGCTGTTTGGCACTGAGCAGCCACATCACAGGCTATTTATACACATTGCTGTGGCACACATGCCAAACCACGTCCCTCGAGTGCCTTCCAACACCCCACACAAACCCCCGGCTCCAACCCTGGCAGCTCACAGCCACGCAGCAAACCAGGAGCCCAAACACCACAGAAAATACATGTCTGTCTGCTTTCTTTCTTATCTGGCTCCAGCAAAATCAAATCTAGTGTGCCCGATGGGGATGTAACGAAAACATCCACTCAGGTCAATACAGAAGCTGTTCAAGAAGACAAGCAAGCAGATGTCTTACAAGACACATGTTAAAAGTCCAGTCTGGTTAGTCTTTAAGAGATAGAATCATGGAATGGTTTGGGTTGGAAAACTCCTCCCGTTCCAACCCCTGCCACGGGCAGGGACCCCTTCCACTAGAGCAGCTTGCTCCAAGCCCCTGTGTCCAACCTGGCCTTGAACACTGCCAGGGATGGGGCAGCCACAGCTTCTCTGGGCACCCTGTGCCAGCGCCTCAGCACCCTCACAGGGAACAGCTTCTGCCTTATCTCCAACCTGAACTCCCCCTGTTTCAGTTTGAACCCATCACCCCTTGTCCTATCCCTACAGCCCCTGATGAAGAGTCCCTCTGCAGCATCCTTGTAGCCCCCTTCAGACACTGGAAGCTGCTCTGAGCTCTCCACACAGCTTCTCTTCTCCAGGCTGAACAGTTCCAATATTCTAAGTCTGGCTCCATACAGGAGCTGCTCCAGCCCCTGAGCATCCTCATGGCCTCCTCTGGACTGTCTCCAACAGCTCCATGTCCTTTTTATGTTGAGGACACCAGAACTGCACACAATGTTCCAATTCAGGTCTCATGAGAGCAGATAGCTGTGCTGCCCTCCTGCCTCCTATGAGGGCTGGGCAATAAGCTTCATTCCTGCATGAGAAAGAAAGGTGCTGTGCAGCCAAAATGACCCACACAGGATCCCATCAAACACACCAAGCCAAGAGGCTCTCATGTACTTCCCAGAGCTGGAGTCTTCCCCTTATCAAAGGCACAGCCTGATGTGGGAAGCTGCCATACACTCCAGCAGGCAGCTGGGCTCTGAGGAAGGACAACACAGCACTGACTGCACATGTGGGGTGAAGCCCTGGAGAAGGAATTCAGGTCCCATTTCTAGAAAGAAGAGAGCAGAGCAAGTCCTGTGAGAGACTCCAACCACCAGCACCCCACTCTTGCCTTCTGGATCATCCCCCTTGGAAAAGGACATCTAGAAACTCCTATACCTCCTCAGCTACAGCTTCACATCTTCATTTAAAGAAATGAGATGATGACATCAAGTTCCTGTCTTTGGAGAAGCCAGGGGAGCATCATCACTGGAGATATCACACCCAGGGAAGGTTTTCCCCTTCCTGGCAGCCAAGCAAACATAAATGCCATGAGTATTTGAGGGAAGAACACACCAGCACCTATCAGTGTCCTAATGAACCAGAGAAGGTGCTTTTAGTTCATTTGTTTAGTTAAAGAGTTTCTCCTTCGGCCACAGCTACGTAACCAGCCTGGAAACCTTCCCAAGGGCTTTACACTCCCCAGCTCCCTGTGCAGCCTCCCTGTGATGCCCATAAAAGCTCAGGAAGTGCAAGGCGGGAAGAAAAGCTAATCAGAGAAAAATGCATTGGATTTAAGGAGCAGGAATCCTGCCCACGGGGGTAGGCAGAGAGAAAAGCCACATTCTGGATAAGTGGGTAGTGTGGGCACAGCAGAGACCACACCAGAGAGCATCGAGTGGGAGCAGGAGGCCAGGCTTTTGGCCAACAAACCCACAGGAGGAGGACACTCTGTGCCACTGGGATATTTTATGAGGATCCCGGTTTTCAGCTCTTTAGACACCAAGAGGCACAGCTACAGAAGCACACTTGCTCTGCTCGTAGTCAGGCTGCTCAGACACGATCCAGACCTGACACCACGTCACCGGAGCGCACGCTCTGGCTTGGCAGACACAGCAGTGGGGTTTCAGACCCAAGATGGCTCGTTTCTGGGCAGCTATAGAGATGACAGCAAGAAAATACAGCTCTGCACTTGTCTACATGGAATGTAGACCCTACAGCTGGAGACCAGGCAGATGAACGACCAAGCATGGTGTTGGCTGGGTTTATATATAATCTAGGGCTTTCTAGAAGGGTGCTCAGTAGCCAAGAAACTAAACAGTTAGTTGGGATTAAGTTCTTTGGACCCAGAACTCCCTCTTACATCCCTCCTGAGAAGGGTTTGGGTGTACATGGGCATGGCTGAGGGGGCATCACATTCTGAGATGTGAAACTAAATCTACAACTGGTCCCTGCACCTGAAGGAGGAACTCGCAGCCTGCTGTAAAAGGCTGTAGTAATTCCAGTGTAAAAGCAGGTTTCTCCTCTGAAGCTGGTTCATTAGAGAAACCACCAACCAGACTACGCCTTTTCCAGGTAGATACCTGATACACAGATCCTTGATCATGGATCCTTGCCAATCCATATTATGTCATGGCTAACCTAGAGAGAATCAAGGCCAATCTATAACCACTCTAGAGTGACAAAACCTCCCTCCTGCTCACAGGAGTATTCTGTAGCAGAGGAACACAAGATGAGCCTGGTTTCCAAAGGACCTTTTACAAACATCCTGCAAAGAAGTGAGCGGTGTTTGTGGGTTTCTGCCTCACACCCTTACAACATCACTTGGTCAATGGAACTAGCTGCATCCTCACCTATGTGGGAACTGGAATTCCAAAGGAGCAGAGCTCTGGACAGAACCCAGTTCTTCCAGCTCAGCAAGACCTCCCGGCGTTTAGACATGCTCTAAATACTGAACACCAAGCCCACAACCCCTTGCATGGACCACAGGTTTGCTGCAAGCCAAGCAACGCTGCTCTTACGTGATGTATTTGTTGTACAGGATAAAGGCATGCTCCATGTTGCCCTCCTCAGAGTAAATGGTGGCCATGCGGAGGATTTCCACCCCAGAGCGGTAGTAGCGTCGTGGCGGGATGTCCTCATTCACTTCCACAGCACTTCCCACCTGGATCAGTCGTCGCACTCGCTCCTCCGGTGGGAGGCTGATGTCAGCGTGGTCAGGCATAGCCCCACACATCAAAGCTGTGGTGGGAGGGAGGCAAACACGTCAAAACCAGTGTCAGACAGGTAACTCACCCAGTTTATAGAATCACAGAATGGGCTGGGGTGGAAGGGACCTTAAAATCATCCAGTTCCAACCGCCTGCCATGGACAGGGGCACCTCACACTAGACCGTGTCACCCAAGCTCTGTCCAACCTCGCCCTCCTCCATAGAAATCACCCCCCTCAGCAGAAAAGCATTCAATTCATGGGCCAAGCAAGGTCCTTAGGAAGAAAACTGGGAGAGGCCCAGCTCTTTTTGGGCACAGTGCTTGGATGTTTACCTTGACAACCTGAAAAGCAGCCGCAAATTCAAGATCAGGCCACGGTAATGATGACATGGGTCTGACCCAACCAAATCCTACCCAAAACAGCATTTCCTTCCCACTTGTCTCTCTGCACAACAGAACTAGTTCTGGTCACTGGTTTGGGGCGAGATGATCACAGCTTTTCATTCAGCCTCAAGCAGAACCAGCTTCACAGTGTGCACGGTTTTGCTTACACAGCAGCGAGATGAGAAGGGAGCTGAAGCCAGTGCTGCTCAGCAGACCTGCCCTCACGCAACCAGCTCAAGCCCAGATTGCTCCTGCCTGGGCACAGTCACAATCCCTCTCTGCTCTGTGCTGCAGGAGGCACACCCCATGGCCCAGGAATGCACCTCGACCTGATCCATGTGCCTGCCTCTGACAGAGCCTTCTCAGCCATGGCACAAGTCGATGAACTTGAAGCAGAGGAAGCAGCATCGAGACTGTCTGAGAGGCAGCGAGCCCACACTCAGCAATGCTCTTCCCTCTCCACTAAAAGCAGTTTTCCCCTGGAAAAGCCACCCCAGAACCAGTTTAAGGGTTAAATTCCCTGTGAAACCACAGAGCTGAATCCACAGCAGCTCAACAAACCCTCCAGCAACTCAACTGCCACACACGGCATGCAACTGAATCATAGAACAGAATGGTTTGGGTTGAAGGGAGCTTAAAGCTCCTCAGGCTTCAACCCCTGCCATGGGCAGGGACACCTTCCACTGGAGCAGCTTGCTCCAAGCCCCTGTGTCCAACCTGGCCTTGAACACTGCCAGGGATGGGGCAGCCACAGCTTCTCTGGGCACCCTGTGCCAGCGCCTCAGCACCCTCACAGGGAAGAGCTTCTGCCTAAGAGCTCATCTCAGTCTCCCCTCTGGCACGTTAAAGCCATTCCCCTTTGTCCTAGCATGATTTACTGTGACTCATTCCTAAACAAGGGAAAGGTCCTGAGCTGAGCTAAGGAGCTGACCAGAGGATCCTGAGCAGCAGAGGAGCTGCCCTTCTAGGGTTACTTCGGAGCACAAGTCCCTTGTTCAGGCTGGAAGGTTCATGTTTCTGAGCCCAAATCCTGGAGGGGGCTCAACAGGCCTCTTGCCCTAAATAAGGGCTGTAGGATGCAGTCCTGCCAGAAGTAGCCGTGCCAAAGTACTTACTTAAAGGGCTCAGAGTGACCTTCAGCTTCTCTTCCTCACTGCTGTTTCTACCAGGGGTGGGTTCAGTTGCTCCTCAAAGGCAGAGCTCTCAGTCACCCCCAACCAAGCTCCACAATCCTCCTACCCCAGGAGATGACAAACACCACTCACTCCCATGTGGTAACTCCCTGGTGCCTTCAATCCAGAGCTCCCCCTTTAATCCCCAAAGCACCTCAAGAGATAAAGTGGCCAAAGCACCCACCGAGCTGCCAGCCACCAAACTACAGCTCTCTTCCTCTCACCATTGGGCAGCAAGAAATCATAAGGACATGGAGCTGCTGGAGCAAGTCCAGATCAGGGACGGAATCACACTCCCGTATGGAGCCAGGCTGAGAACATTGGGGCTGCTCAGCCTGGAGAAGAGAAGCTGCATGGAGACCTCAGAGCAGCTTCCAGTGTCTGAAGGGGGCTACAAGGATGCTGGAGAGGGACTCTTCATCAGGGACTGTAGGGATAGGACAAGGGGTGATGGGTTCAAACTGAAATAGGGGGAGTTCAGGTTGGAGATAAGGCAGAAGTGATTTATGTGAGGGTGCTGAGGCGCTGGCACAGGGTGCCCAGAGAAGCTGTGGCTGCCCCATCCCTGGCAGTGTTCAAGGCCAGGTTGGACACAGGGGCTTGGAGCAAGCTGCTCTAGTGGAAGGGGTCCCTGCCTGTGGCAGGGGTTGGAGCTGGAGGAGCTTTAAGGTCCCTTCCAACCCAAATCTGCCATTCCATGACACCCCCCGCACCCCCCAAACCCAGAGCCCTCCCCACGGCTCTCATTGTAAGGTCTCTCCTTCACACCCTGCAGGGGAGAGCGGAGGAGCCCCAGCGCCCCACAACAAACCAAGGGGAGGCCCAAACCACATCCCCCTTCCTAACAGCAACGACACCCGGAGCCCCACGAAGGGAACCTCAGGGGACAACCCCCAACCGGAGCCCGCTTGTCCCGGTCCCCCCCCTGCCCCCTTGAGCCGCCCATGGCCCCGGCCCCGGCCCCGGGCCTGACCTGCCGCCGCCTCCCCTCAGCGCTTCCGGGTTCTGCCCGCGACGCCGACAGGGCTGCCCCGCCCCGCTTCAAACAGCCAATCAGGAGCCGCGGCAACATCCGGGTACCGCCCGCTCCCCCTCGAACGAGAGAGCGCTTCCCTTCGCTGAGCGTCGTCACCTTAAAGGGGCAGCGCCCCAACCCGAAAACACGCTTTTTCACCCCAAAACGGTGGGGAGGGCAGAGCGCACTGCCGGGCTCAGGGGAGAGCCGAAGGGTCGGCCCAAGCAGGGAGGAATAACTGCCCTGCAAGTGGGGCTCGGGGGTTATGCACTGTGGGGATTTACTGCAGCGAAAGGGGGTGAAAAGGACAAAAACCCAAATAATGGAGTTTAAGCTGAATAAAATCTGTTGTATTGAGAAAAATAAGGAAGACTCTTTCAGCTGATGCTTAAAGGGATGCTCCTGCGGATGTTTCTTCAGCGTTAGTCCATTTGTGAATGTGTTTATTCTTCCCTGAGGGAGCAGAGCTCCGCCTCTGGAATTCCAGAGGAGACAAAATTCCTGCGGGATTTGTAAAAGCACCAGAGAAAGTAAATGAAAACCGAGCTAAAAGAGCTGCATTGGGAACAACTACGGCTCCCAATGGCTGGTGAAGGTTACAGCAAAGCCACCCATTCCAGCACCGAGACCCATCCCAGAGGGATGGCAGAAACAGCCCTGGATGGGCTTTCCTTACGGACAACATTCCCTATGCTGTCCCAACAGGTTTCCAGTGATGGTGCCTGCGTCTCCTGGCAGGCTGCATTCCCTGAGCTGGGCAGAACTGGGGGTTCTGAGGGGGAAAGAACAGTCCATTGCTCTGCTCCTTGGTGGGGAGCAAGAGCTGACAGTTCCTCGCTGCCAGCCCATGGGGCTGCCTTGGATCCATCGCCCTGAGCTCATGTGTCTGTGTCTGTGCCATGGCACCTCTCCTACGGCTCTTCTTGGGGCTGCCAGATTTCCTGGAATGAAAAGTCAGGAGTCAGAACCAGGAGAAGTCACAGTAAGGGAAGTTTTCATGGAGTGGTTTGGGTTGGAAGGGACCTTAAAGCTCATCTCTGCAGAGCTGGCAAGGCAGGGCCCTCTTGCGTGCTCTCCAAGATGTAGCCTGTGGAAGTCCAAGTTTAAGGGTCTTAAACATGAGAAAGGAATTCAAGAGCCAAAAACCTACCTGGGCACCGCTATGGGGAACTGGTCTGAATGATGTGAATGATGTTCGATCATCTGGTTGTTGCTGGCTGGGGTAGGGGCAGCTTTTTGTCTGAAGCAGTCTGAGTCCAATCTATTTAGTCCCCAATTCCTTAAAAAGATATCCGCATGTTTTGACTGTTCCAACCATTCACAAATGATCCAAAGAGCTCTTCTACACTTAAAGCCCCCATCCCTCTGCATCACTGCTCCCCAAACAAGAACGGCAGCAGATCTTTCAACCTAGATCTCCCAGCTCCCCACCTTCCTCCTTCCCCACTGGCCCCTTCGATCTCCCTTCCTAGGACCCAGTCACATTAAGCACCTGCTGCTTGACACCAGCTCTCCCTGAGCACACACTTGATTATGCACACAAAAAGACTCACTTTTTTACAGGTCTCTGCTGAAGATGTTGGATATAGTTGATTCTCTCTATAGGATGCCCTCGAGCTCTGTTGAACACTGGAGAGAAACAGGTCTGAGTTGCAAGAACACTCTGTACATGCCACTTCAGGGGCTGCAGAGGACTTAAATCCTTTAGAAGGATTTTAACCCCTTCAACCAACACTAACATGCTTAGGTCACATAGGGTGACTTCACTCAGTGTTACTGCCCTGCACACCGCAGCCTGGCACAGGGCAGAGCTGCAGTGATCCAACCCCTGCTCAGTGCCCACCACGATCCCTCAACCAGGCTTAGCTCCACAGTCAGGCCATAAACTTAATTCCAGAGAGACCCTGAAAGCCGTAGAGGTGGATCAGGGCAAACCCCATGGAATTCAACAAAGCCAAGAGCAAGGTCCTGCCCCTGGGTTGGGGAAATCCAATACAAACACAGGCTGGGGGAGGCTGGATGGGACAGCCCTGAGGAGAAGGAATTGGGATGTTGGGTGAGGAGAAGCTTGCCATGACCTGGCTTCAGCGTGAGCTTGAGCCCAGAACCCCCTCCATGTGCTGGGCTGCACCCCCAGAATGTGAGCAGCAGCTCAGGGAGGGGATTCTCCCTCTCTGCAGTCCTGATCCAGCTCCCATTCCACATTACAGGAACACACACAAAGCTAAATCACAGTTACCTTCCTGGAGCGAGCACAAGTCTTCTGACCATCTAAATCACAAGCCCACAATAAACACCCTGCACCCAACAAGAACATCACACACATACGTACACTCAATTGCAGTGTTTGCCTCCATGCCTTCAACATCAATCAGGTACCTGTACAGCAAGAAAACTCTAATTACACAATTAGCTATGGAAACATTGAGAGGTTTGAGCTAACTCAACAAGAAGGAGTAACTGGGAAGTTTTTAGAGCTTCTATTTCTGTGCCAGAATGGAGGATCAGAATTTGGGCTGCTGAAATTTGGGCCAAGAAGTGTCCCGAACAACAAGCTTCTCAAAGCTGAAAAGCTCTAAATCTTTGCAAATCTGGGATGACACAAGTTCACTTGACTCTTGACTTATTGCTGCAACTCTGTTTCCTCCTGGAGCACCAAGCAGCTGGCAATGCCACCACTGAACCCAGTTTGACTCACCTACAAACCAGGTAGCCAGTTCTGTTCAAGCCATGTGTGCAATGAACTCCTATGAGTTTATCTGTAAGACACCAAAATCAGGTTATATTTAAACAGCCTTACTCCAAAACCCCACCAGAACAAGCCCGTTTGCTTTCACCCTCCAGCAGTGACACCAGCATAAATGACTACAAGGGACCACACACCAACATCACTATATTTATGTCTAATTAAAGCCATTGATTCGACTCATGAACTCAGTTAATCCCGAGTTTCTCTGCATGGTCACACAGCTCACTGCATGGAAGATGTATTTAAAAGCTCCACAAAAAGCCATCCCATGTTTCCCAAACACTAACAGTCATCTGTGTTTACAGAGAGCCTAGAGATGGACTTTCAAATGCAATTAAAGCTCAACTCAGTGCCAAATTATCAGAGAGCCAGCAGTAATCCCTTCACCACAACAATCCAAACTTACTGTCTTGACATTCACATGCCAAGAAGAGGAAAAGAAATTCATGCTGCTCATTCAGCACAAGAGGGACATGGAGCTGTTGGAGCAAGTCCAGATCAGGGATGGAATCACACTCCCGTATGGAGCCAGGCTGAGAACATTGGGGCTGTTCAGCCTGGAGAAGAGAAGCTGTGTGGAGACCTCAGAGCAGCTTCCAGTGTCTGAAGGGGGCTACAAGGATGCTGCAGAGGGACTCTTCATCAGGGACTGTAGGGATAGGACAAGGGGTGATGGGTTCAGACTGAAATAGGGGAAGTTCAGGTTGGAGATAAGGCAGAAGCTCTTCCCTGTGAGGGTGCTTAGGCGCTGGCACAGGGTGCCCAGAGAAGCTGTGGCTGCCCCATCCCTGGCAGTGTTCAAGGCCAGGCTGGACACAGGGGCTTGGAGCAAGCTGCTCTAGTGGAAGGGGTCCCTGCCTGTGGCAGGGGTTGGATCTGGATGAGCTTTAAGGTCCCTTCAATGCAAACCAGTTTGGGATTCTACAATTAAAACATCCCTGGCCTCCAGCCCTGCAGTGCCCTTCTCAAGGGAAATCCACACTTACTGTTGTTTCTGTTGTCTCTCAGAAACTGTTTTACAACATATTTGAACTGAGAAACGGTGTGCCTGTTTGGGATTTGATGTCCCATTGTCAAGATCTTTGAGTAGAAGACTGAGGCTGGGAGCTCCTACAAGAAAGTCAGTCAGTGATTTCCACAGAAAGCACAAGGATTCTTATCACATAAGCACACACCATAAACCCAGAAGCAGCTTTTCAGGTAAGACCAACAGAGCAGCAGCAGCTCTGTTTTAGGTAAGAACACTTCTGCTTCACCCCCTGGGCATAGGCCCAGTACTCCAGAGCAGCCTTTTGGCATTTTCATTTCTCTTGCCTTTCCTCCCCAGGGAACACGCAGAGGCTGGAACACTTTTCCAAGCCATTATCCACACATTTGATACCACAAGGCAAAGCTGGTTGTAAGCAAGTATTTGCTCAGGAGAAGCCTACAAAAATAGGTTTAGGGGATCACAAAACTTGTGCTGACTGGGACAAAGAGGATCTACACAACAGAGTTTAAACACTCCAGGCCTGAACTCGGTTGAGGATGAAAACCCCATCCCAATGGGCCTTCAATGCCTCAACTCATCCCCCTGCCAGAGGATTTGAGTGCCTCACACTAAAGTTATCTTCTTGCAAGAAACATCTTGCTCCTTATCAGCAATGTCAGGGCTTGCACAGAGTTTCACTTCCTCAGCAGCAGGATCAAGACTCACCTCTGGCCTGTAGTAACGAGTGGTGTAGGTCAGGTCAATGATCAGGCCCAGCTCTTCCTTCTGCTCTTCGATTTTCTTAATGAGGTCATGGGGTGAAAATCTCTCCTCTGGATGAAGGTTCTGATCAAAGCTCTAAAAGGGAATAATGTTTAACAGCTGATATTAACGCTCAGGTGAACTGTGAACTGGAGCAGGAACGCTCCAGAAACAGCCCAAAGATCATCCCTTCAAAGGGCTCAGGCAAAGCCGGATGGACACACAGGTTACACTGAGCCAAAGGAGAACATGCTCAGGCCCTTGCTGCTTTGAGGCTGCTCAGCTGAGGGTAGAGAGAAGACTTTTCCCTGTGGCAGAACACTGCAGCGTGAAAAAGCACTCACAGAAAGTGAAGTTTTTGTATGGTGAAAGCCATCAAACAGGGCTTCAGCTCAAACAGAGGGCAGCAAACAGCACCACTCCTGGCCATGAGCTTCTCAACCCCCTTGGACATTAACCAGTGTTTGCTTTAGGAGTAGCTGCCCTGCTCAGACCCCTCCAGAGCAGAGCAGGATCCTGCACAGAATCAGCTTGATTGGAAAACAGCTTTAAGCTCATCAGGGCCAACTGTTGCCCAGCAGTGCCAAGGCCACCACTAACCCATGGCACTGAGGCCTCGTCTCCACGCTGTGTGAACACTTGCAGGGACGGTGACTGCAGCCCTGCCCTGGGCAGCCTGTTCCAATGCCTGAGCACCCTTTGGGCAAGGAATTGT